CGTCGATGAAGGGATAGGCAAGGGGTCGAGTCTCTCCTCACTTTTTGCGCAGCTAGGGTGTTCGATTTAATTTAATCTCGATGCCCTTGTGTGTTTCCGCACATCATCGCACAGGTACGTTTTTTTTTTTTTTTTAACGCACGAAAGGTGATCTTTGCATTCAGTGAAATAAAAAAAAATGTGAGGAGTTAAACAAAAAATAATGATGAATCTTCAACCGATTCAAACTCTCAAACTTAATCATTCGATCTGTTGTTGCAGAGAGACTTGATGAATTTTGAAATCGCCGAAGTGTTTCGCTCTTCTTGATTCGCCAAAGTTAATATCCGGATACTTAAATATCCAACGCGAAGTACAACGGTTCGCTTTCACATGAAATATATATATGTTCACATTTTTTCTGTCTCTTGTATTTCTTGTGTAAAATTTTCGCAAGTATTTTTTTTTTTTTTTTTCAAGAAAACAACGCAATGCGGCGTTCTTAGACCAGAAAATAGCAAAATTCATGACGGACACAACAAGAGACTCAGAAGAGAAGACGTTGTCTTTTCGTGTGTTCACCAACGCGGCGAGCCATCTGGTTCGTTTCGTTCGCAGCAAAGCAGTTTGAGTTCGAGAGATCGATATAACCCACAGCCGCTCTCTCGACCACTCCCTCCGTTTGCAGGCTGACCAATCGAGGATGACTGGCCATCCCCGGCTCCTGGCTCGCGTCGGAGTCTCTCTCTCTTTTCCCTTCTTCTCGAGCAACGGTGAATTTACGTGACGTCACTGTGCGACGCCATTTTCGAGGCGCGTGCCAGAAAACGTGCAGAAACATCGACGGATTACGAGTCGCGCGAGAAGAATAATCTATAAAGAATGCCCTAGTGCCGAAAAGAAATTTATTACGACCGGGCGGGTGGCCCAGTTGGATCGTGCGAAAAAGTCTTTCAGTTTCGAAATCAATCGAAGACGTTTCGATTCGCGACATTTTCTCTCAAATTCTGAATCTCACGCGTCTTTGTATTATTTCTTAAAGCTTACAGTAATTCATTAACTATCACGGAAAAAAAAGATTTGCCAGAATAGAAAGAAATTAGTTACTATATGGCCAGCAGAAAAAACATTTGTTAAGTTTATTAAAATTTTTGTTTCGCCAAAACAAAACATTTTGTTGATGAAACAAACAATTTCGTAGGGTCAGCCATTTTTCTTGCTGGCCAGAATAATAGCAAAACTTTTTTTTTCCCGTGTACCAAATCATCTCCACTAATTTTTCTTCCATTTCTTACATTTTAATACATCATTCTAAGGTCTGATTACTTTTGAAGTACGCATGTTGACGTTCATTGATAACAAATCACGAATGGGATTCTATTCCTGAGAAATTTAGCGAGAATTTATCGCGTTTAAATAATTTGCAATTTGAAGTAATTTACTCCGCAATAAATATCGTCAATAATTGTCGGCCAATTCCTCGAGGGGCAAAGCTAACGTGACTGTTTTCCGTGAAGAAACATCAACAGAGCAAGCCGCAAAGTTAAGACAACTTGTAATGTCCCGCCGCAGGGAACGTCGCCATGTTAAGACACGGACGTGTGTGTGTGTGTGTATCATACTGCAGTAATTAGAATTTATTTCACATAATTGCCGCGCAAACCGCAACTCATGCGATTTAAGTTAATTTTGTACACAATTATGTAAGTACGTCAAGCGTTTAGTTACTATCGGAGAGAGCGAACCTAATCGGTTTGCGAAGAAGAGCGCCGTAATGGCGACACTTAAATTTAAACACCGGGGGCGATTGCGCGCGCTTCTCAACTCATTCTCGTTGATTCAACGTTGGTTTCGCTCTCTCTCTCTCTCTCTCTATTGTTTTCCCTCTGAAGAAACACGAACTTACACGCTAACAGGATTGAAATTTGATTTTTCAAATTGATAAAGAGAGAGAGAAAAAAGATCAAAGAAAAACGTTATTACGAAATTTTATACGCATTTGTTCTACGCAAATTTATTACACATTTATCTGTGTATATCAAGTTTGAAAAAAACCAATTGTAGAAATGAGTACGAATAAAAAAAATAACAAAACTTTCTCCATTTGTTTAAAAGTGTAGGATAAATTAATTCCTCGAGAGGCGATTCTCAGTCACCATTTAAATCGACAAAATTTGATATTCAGTGTTAGATCTTGCATATAACGTAAAAATACATAAAATATATTAAAATAAAATAGCTTTATTCGTTAATTCACGTGATGATGTATTTTTATGTCAATTGTAAAAAATTTTCATTAACTTCTTAGCAAAAAAGCTTCGAATTTCTTACTTTCCTAAAAACTTTCAAGTTCAAAGAGTTAAAAAGTAATGGCGAATTGAATATACTTGTATTTAAAAAAAAAATAATATGATAAAAATAATAATATCAGTTCCGAGCTTTTATACAACTTTGACGCTTAATCCTGTACTGTTTTAATTTGTTAGTGTGTGCAATTTAATTGAATTAAGGAATAATGAGACCATATTGTAACATGATGCGTAATTATTATTTTTTTGCATAATGATCAATTGACAAGAACTTCAAATAAAGTCGAAACGTTTTGACAAAGATTGTTTAAAACAAATTATTAGTGCAAAGGCTCCAAATAGCCAATTCCATTTAAATAAAAATAATATGAATTAATAATAAACAAGAAGAAGATTTCTTCTTTCATTCATTTGTTTAAAAAAAATATGATTTATAAGAAATTGAAGTCCTATCGTCTAAGTCTCATCGTTATTCGCGTCTTGTTTTTCTTTCGTTCATTTATTTGTAACTGTTAAAGAGACAAACTTATTCGACTCGTAAAAGTTTGTTTAAAAAAAATACAGGTTTTTAATTTGCAAAATATTTCCGTTAGGGCTTCTAAATATTATTTTTACACGCGCAAATTCTTTCTATTTTACACGAGAAATTAGATTTGCGACTTTTATCCCGTTAGAAGTTTCGCCGCTCGAGCGAGAGGGAAGCAGCAAGAGAGAAATGGCAGAGGGGTTGGATCTGGCGGAGGGATTTATTTTGCGGCATGATATTTGGCCTCGACGTATAGCAAAGCGAGGGTGCAAAATCGATACTAGACGTCCTCTCTCCCTTCTCGGGATGAATGTCACTATGTTTCCGTTCTTGGCAGCCATGCCTTTCGTCTAAGGAGACTGGAATTCTAGCCAACTAGAATTTTAACGGTCGCGAAAGATTGACAGAATTCAGTTAATCTAAAAATTTGCGCGAGAAATAAAAATACTTAACATAAGAATTTCATAGTGTCGCGCGCTCCCCACAGCCTGAGGAATGATAAACTTGAAAAAAAAAAATGTGACAAGTTTCGAAAGAAAAATTATTTGTCAAAAATATGTACACGAGAGTTGTACAGAATTTAAGAGAAATTAATTAGCAATTAAAAAGGGACAAAAGAGAGATAATGTGATTCCGAATAAAAGTCAAAAAGAAGATAGAAAACGACAAAAAGAAATCCGGTTAGAGAGAATAACAAAAGCAACAAAAAACTTTCAAGTATATATATCGATCGAAATCCGAGAAATTTTCGTGGCTAAATTGTGCTATTGCATCAAGATGAACGGAAGGCGTGCGAGTTGCACCCGGATGCAGACAGATGGGAGTGGTCTCCGTAATCACGATGGGCGTGGTTTTTCACAGCTGCTTGCTGCAGCTGCACATCCCCCGCGGAACGCACCTAAACCCTGACTGAAAATTTTGTCACTTTTAACGAGAAATATATTAATTCGCGCTTCACTTCGATAAGAATGTGATATAATTGGAGTAAATATTTTTCCAAGATACGTGTACATGTTGTTATTCGTGTGTAATATTCTATGTAATATTTATATAAATTATCTATATTTATATAATTAATCTCGTTATTGATTTACTGACGCACATTATCTACTCACACATTGTACCGCACATTGTTAATCCGTATTTTTACAAGAAATTTGAAATTACATAACAATACGCGAGCCATGTTTTTTAATAATACAGTATTTATATTTGTTTAAACATGCGTACGCGCAAAAATTTTGGTGACATTTTGGTTTAAAAGCAAACACCTTTAATAAGGTGTATAATATCTCAGAAATTGAAGAAAAGCGCCATTTTTCTGTGCCGCATAATTTAACGCTATTTTTTCTGCTTCGCATAATTCACCGACAGAGAACAACGCGGCCGCGTTCAGGGAACAAGAATGCGAGCGGCGGGATCCTCTCCTGACTGCGGCAGGAGCAAGATGTTTTGCGAACACACATCCGCGGCTTTTTGTCCTGCGAACGATTTCGGTAGGTAAACGCCGAGTTGTGAAGGAAGACGCTGGCACGGGGTAGAGAGATCGCGACTCCCATTAAGCTCTTATTAATTGCGAGCATCTGAGGGACCGATCTTTCTTGCGCTACCTGCGCGCCATTCCGTTGACCAAGCCAGAGCTTGTCCCGCTGTCGTTCGACACAGTTAGGACACGACAGGATCTTTGATCCGCCGTCGATATGCCGACAACTCGTATATATATATATATACGCGAGAGTATATATCAGATAAAATAATGCGAATTGTAATGACGTGATAAATTAGAAATAAATGAGAAATTACGTGAGTGTTTTTTTTTTTTTTTTTTTGAAAAGAACTTCGAATTGAACTCTTTTGTTAAGTAATATAACAAAAAGTGTCTAAACTTTTTCCCTCTCTCTAATCGAAAGTACTTTACATTTTTGTGTCAAGAGTATTGATACAATTTGTAGATTTTGCCAAAAGATAAGATTATTATGACAGTTATTATTGATTATAAATATTGTTTCGTGAACTTAATGTTGTTAATGTTGTTAATGAGTTTGAAGATAAATATAATAAAATGATGATGTGTGTTTTTTTAAGTACACATATATATAGACGTCTGTATATTGAAAAAACGGATTTCGTAGAAGTTGACGCGCCGTTGTTGAAACCCCCAAAAATGAAAAAGTCTACTTACTTACCGGAGAGGGGTGCATAGTGGCCGTGAGGGTAGGGCGGCGCCGAAGACGCGTCGACGAGAGACTGCGACGGCGTCGCCGACGTCCACTCCTTGTAGGATGCCGCGGCGTGCGCGTGATGCGCCGCGTGATGAGACGTATGGTGGCCGAGGCCGCGTGCACCACCCAGCAGAAGGCCACCGTAGCTCGCCGCCGCCGCCATATTGTGGTGATGATACTCGTGCACAGCCCTAATATAAATAGCAAATACATGCGGCAATTTTTGCGAAATGTGAAAATAATCAAGACACAGTAGTAGCGAATGCAAGTCTTGTCTCTTGAGCATCGCGAGCGCGATATATAATTTTTGTTTAACAACACAATAAGACCAATAAGCCGTTGTAATCCACAGGTGTAGGGGGTACACAGATAATAAGCAATAAAAAAACACAATTACATCACGACTGTTACATGGTATGTTTATAACTGTACATTTGTGTTGTCATTTTGATGCGATTGTAAATATCAAAAATCGATTTCAACTCTTATCATTTATCTCTAATCATTTTTTATTGCAGTCTGGCTGAAGACGATCGCAAAAATATATCGATCGAAACGTTCCGGTTTGTTTGAAGAACACAAATTGTATTTTTTATTGCTTATTACCTGTGTACCACCTGTGGATTACAACGGCTTGTTGGTCTTATTGTGTTGTTAAATTTATTATTAGCCGTTTATATATATATTTTTGTTTAATTATATTATATTTTTGTGTCGAAAATAATCATTTATCAATACAGTTAACATTTTGATACGTAAAAAGAAACTATTACGTATAAATGTAAATAAAGATATATTTATGTGTTACCACATACTTATTCAATTAAATTAGCATCGCATTTCTCTCGGCGTGCCAACATGGTTGCCTTGATCACAATATATAATTTGACGCGTGTAAATATAAACGAGGCACAAAGTAGCACAAGAGATGCAATACATATACATATACATATATACATATAGTTGTTAAAAATAAGATTACAAATTATAAAAACGCCGAAGTAACAATTCTAACTAATGTAAAACGGAGTAAAGGAGAGAAGAAAGAAAAAGAAGAAAATCGGATAAGAAGAAGAAGAAGAAAGATAGTGTGTATGCGGTTTAAAAAGCAAAAAAAGAAGAGTAGGAACATGTGAAAAATACTGAAAACTGTCAGGAGCAGGTAACGCCGAGATCTTTAGCACTGATCTGGCCGCGGCTACTCGTATAAATTATGAGTCTGTCACCGTCGCCGTAGGAAGAGAACGAAAGGTATCGGCGACTTCTTTTTTCTTTTTTCTCCAACTCTTCTTTTTTTTCTTGCTTCAATTTCTCTCTTTCCCGTCCCGTTCCCACGTGTGGCGCGTAACTCTTTTTTAAACTCTATCGTGGTTTTTAATCATATAAAAATTTGCGAACACAATGGTTATTGTTTGCTCTTTAAATCACACGCAACGCTCTACGGAAGATTTTGTTGATTGAAGAACGCAAATTCGTGACAAAAATCTATGTAAGAACCGAGAATTGTAAAATTTGACGCGCACACGGACGAAAATCGTGTTTGAAAAATAAAAAGTTTTAAGTTTCAATAATTAAGCCAAAGTTACGTGGATGAACCCGCGAGTCGAAATTTACCGTCTACATTGAACCACAATTCCTCTTTTTTTATGTAGGAGTAAGAGAGAAAGTACACCGAAAAAATTGTATTCTCTTATTTTGAGGATATCCCACTTACTTTAAGTATATTTTATACTAAAATAGGCGCCAAGAAGAGTTTCTTATTTTAAGAGCAAAATCCTCTAAATAGTAATATTGATAAGAATATATACTGATTAGAATATATAAAGCCTCTATGGAAAAACATATATATCTCACTATCGAAAAAGACTATATTCTTAAATTAAGAATATATTCTTGAATAAAGAATATATTCTTAATTTCAGAAGAATATCATCTAAAATCTTTAAGAAGATTTTTTAAGTATAAAATCTTCTACTTACGAGAATATAATTTTTTCGGTGTAGATCCTACTTTGACGCTGCTATGACGTCCGAAATTTCCTTTTTTCCCGCTAAAGTTTTAAAGTAGGATTCAATTCTCAGCTCAGACTGCGCATTGCAGTCTCTGATAGGCTCAAAATAGGCTCCGATAGACTCAAAGTAGGAGTAAGAAAAAAAGTAGATGCTACTTGACGCTGCTATGACGTCCGAAATTTCCTTTTTTTCAAAAATTGAGGTTCAATGTGGACGCTAAATTTCGACTCGGGTAAGTCCGTACTATGATAACGCGTTCGTTAGAAACTTTCCAACTGGAATTAATTCGGTTTCACGGCGATATAGTTGAACGATAGAGTTACACGTATTTGTAACTCTCTCGCGGCGACACACGCGTGTTTAAGAATCAATGAGACGTGAACGCGGGCGCCTACATTTCATCGCGCGATAATCCGCTAGGAATGCTGATTAAAAGGCGAAGATAGGAAAAAAAAAACCAAAAAAAAAAAGAAGAATGCTCTTTACGCAAAATGAAGAAACGCGAGATGAAGGGAGGAAAAACAAAAAATCAACGAGAGAGAGAGAGAGCTTACAACACTGATTGGTAACACTGACCTGTGGTGATACTGCGGGTAATGTGGATGCCACGGATCCGTTGGGTACTCGTAGACATCACCGGGATGCTGACTATTCCAAAAGGAAGGAGGAAAATTCCTCATGGACATGGGGGAGATATTTTCTGCAATGAAAAAGAAGACACACAGTGTTTCGGCGCAGTGTTTGCGCGCACGTGCGCGGGATTTTTCAACGGCTCGCTGATAACGCGCGCTTACGAAAAAAGAAGTTCTTTTTTTTTTTTTTTATTTCATTTTATTCCTCTCGTAAAAATTACCCGTCACTTAACTCGCGTTGACGCGAATATCTTTGACGCGTGATTGCTAAGCGCGTTAAAAAAAAAAAACGTTCAAAACGAGATATAGCGAGATCGATCGAGTCAAATACGCGGTGTCGATTACGCGCGCGCGTGTGTGCGAATATATTCTTTTTTTCTCTGAAAATAAGATAATCTTTTGAAATTAAGAAAATCTTTCGTGTGAAGAAACACGTATGTAGGTGTACCTAACCGATGATTCTTAAGTGATATCGATTCCATCGAATTTTACTTTGACGTTTCTTTCCACAATATGTGAGAGACCAATTTTTCCTCGGAAAACGAGTTTCTCTCACGAGCGAGTCACGCTTCTACCAGAAACTTGTATCTTTCTCTTTCTCTTTCTCTTTCCATCTGTCTAACAAGATAAACAACATCGGTGTTCGACTAAATCATCGTAGTTTGTAACGGTATGGAGTAAATTAGCAGCCGGTACGCTTCTCCTGGCCTAAGATAATCGAAGTGGTTTAGTTGGGAGATGAAATCGCACGGGGAGAGAATTGAAGGGCATAAATCGTGTGTATATACCGCGCGAGGTCGACCTCGCGTTTGGTCCACAACTTTCGTGGCGCGCGTTCCGATTGGTCACGGGGTTGTTTTAAAGAAAATAAATAAAAAAAAAAAAAAAAACAGAAGAAGAAAAAGATGGAAAGAGGAAAGAATCTAACGCGAGCGAGGACCGCGCGGAAAGGATTGCGGGAAGATACACGACAAGCTTCTGGCTTCAGAGTGGCCGCTTGTAAAACAACCGAGCGGTGCCCTTCTGCCTCTTTCGCCGATTCGATCCCTCGTGGTATTCTGACTCGCCCGTTCACCGAGATTCTCCCAGGTCCCCGTGGGAACCGCACGGGGAATATTTTAATAAAGCTTTTGCTTAGTCATTATCTTCTCAATTCATTTATTATTGCGCAATTATCTAAAATAATGTAACAATTAATATATCCGTTCGATGTATCGTCAAAATCGAACACGTTGTTATTGCATAATTGTTTGTAGAATGAGAGCTTCGCGTAAGCTGTTAGCGAATACATCAATATCTTTTAAATTAAATTAAATATTAAAAAAAAAAAAAAATGATTTTTGTTTGATATTTTTTCATTTTATAAAAAGCAAAACACAATTTGTAAAAGTTAAAGTTTTGGATTTTTTTTAAATACCAATATTGTTTTCTCTCGCTAGCTGAGAAGTCAAGTGTAAAAATTTTTTTGAAAAACTCTATATGCCATAATTTAATCACGAATATGATTCTTAATCATCAGAGACATCACGGATATTACCGGAAACTCTGCTCGTGGGATTGTTTGAGACTCCGTCTTTCTCTTCCTGCGTTTAGTATCTTTTACCTGTGTCTCAGAGTTCGCCGACTGTCCTTTATTTATTAACGCAATTAAAGAAACAGAGTGTCGGCTGTCTGCGGCCGGCTTTCTTCTTTGTCGGTGCCGCGAAACAGAGAGACAGAGAGAGAGAGAGAGAGAGAGAGATAGAGTCCGTTCTAGGTGAAGGAGAAAGGAGAAAGCAAAGAATTGTTGAAATCTGTTTTGTTAATAAGTATCCATGTGTGTGTGTGTGTTTTTTTTCAGAATTTCATAAAACGCCGACAATTTAATCAGATGTTTTGCAAATCTAATTTTATGATTGCACTTTATTATTAGTGCTTGCTTTTTATCGTGATTAGCACATGAGAGATTAGATCGGAATCCGGTCAACTAGAAATTGATCAACGAAGTATACCTACTTTGAACTTTTCGCGCTCGTAAATATTCGAGAAATGTAAAATTATCTTGTTAATTATCGGGTTTAGAGCTAATAAAAAGGTTGTTACAATTTTATACTCGAAATTTAATGTATTTTCTAACCGTAGTATAAAAAATATAGTACGGTCAACTTTATACTTTTTTATTTTATTTCAACTTTATTATATTTCCACACGTGATATTTGCGCGTCTCCCTTCACGTATAAATTGCGTTGTAATTAAATTAACATACACGTAAGTTTTTTTCTTTTATTATTTATTCTACAACGCAACAAACTGCTCATGGTGTCGCCGATTCCGTTAAATTATATCACAGTATAAAAAAATAATTAAAAAATTCTCCTGCACATATTCCCACACGGAAAAAAAAAGTTTTTCTATTATATGGTTAACGCAAGAAAAATGGTCGACTCTACAAAATTTTTGGTTTCATCAACAAAATGTTTTGTTGGCAAACCAAAATTTTAATAAACTTAACAAATGTTTTTTTGCCGGCTATATAGCAATTTCTTGCTAGTCTGGCAAATCTTTTTTTTCCGTGCACTAGCGCAAATATGGAGAGTTGACTGTACATTCCATTTGAAAAAAACCCACAAGTTAAACCTTAAAATCTCCGAAACACTTCTACCTAAAAAAAGTACATATATTATGTAATAATTCCTTTAAACTCAGCTTTTCTCGAGTCGAAATTTAGCGTCTACATTGAATCTCAATTCCTCTTTTTTTATGTAGGAGCAAGAGAGAAAGTAGATCCTACTTTGACGCTGCTGTACGTCCGAAATTTCTTTTTCTCCTGCTAAAATTTTAAAGTAGGATTTTCAATTCTCAGATCAGACTGCGCATTGCAGGCTCTGATAGGCTCAAAATAGGCTCCGATAGGCTCAAAGTAGGAGTAAAAAAAAAAGTAGATGCTACTTTGACGCTACTTTGACGTCCGAAATTTCCTTCTTTAAAAATTGAAGTTCAATGTAGACGCTAAATTTCGACTCGGGTTGTATGTAACCAGTTTTTATACAACGCATAACGTTGAAGTTATTCAAAGTGTGCAAATCGGATGCACACGTTCTTAATAGAGTTATGTATGCAATTTAAATAATGATAAACTTGTAGCACCACGTACATAAAATACGTTGGTATCAAAATTACGAATTAAACACTATACGCTTACATGTCTTCGTACAATGGAATTTCCCCCTCCCCCCCAAAAAAAAGACAAACTTCGTTTTTAATTACTTTATTTTTTCTAATTTTAAAAGTAATTCTTTCCAGCCACATCCCCTCTTTGTTTTGGCAATGAGCGCATTTAGACTCAAAGTCGTTCAATCCTTGTACGTACGTTACTCGGCATTCCGCGGCTAAAACTGTCTCCTGCGACGTCGGCTTTTCGCTCTCTCCTCTCCTTCCTTCTGCCCCACAATATCTTTCCTCGGTCCTCCTCCGCCATCCCTCTCTCTTCCCTCTTTTCCCCAACAAGAAGCTCTTAATTTACCTTTTGTACGAGCACGTTCGCGGGAAGTAAACGCGCAGCACTAGCCGAGAGGTAGAGAAGGAACGAAGAGAGTATAAGGAAAAGAAGGGAGGGGTGAGGCGTAACAATTAGGCTGTGTTGTCTTGAATTCTAAGCAGGCTACTGAACTGATCCTCGGCACCGTGGCCGGGATAAATACGGCCTTAAACGACACCGATATAGACGAGCTTGCCGATTGCTTGCCAAACTCGCTCGCGTGCTCGCTGACAATCTTCTCTCCCTCTCCACTCCCGTATTCTATTCGCTTATTCTCTCTCTTGCGTTGTGTCGTGATGTTTCACTCCGTCCTTTTCTTCCCGTCTTCTCTGTCCTAACCACGTTTTAAATCGACGCGAGTACGAGCTACAATTGTCACGAGGCTTGTTAGCATTGTCGCCAGCTAATGGCGTGCTTTATTACCCCCGTCTCGGAAATGCTTTGACGTCGATCTCGACTTCATCGAGATCGAAAGAAGCGACAAAATCTCTCTTTCGGGATTTATCTCATAAATATACTTCGCTAATTAATAATTTAATAATTACACTATCCCGAGTCGAAATTTAGCGTCTACATTGAACCTCAATTTTTGAAAAAAGGAAATTTCGGACGTATAGCAGCGTCGAAGTAGCATCTACTTTTTTTCTTACTCCTACTTTGAGCTTATCAGAGCCTATTTTGAGCTTATCAGAGCCTGCAATGCGCAGTCTGATCTGAGAATTAAATCCTACTTTAAAACTTTAGCAGGAAAAAAGGAACTTTCGGACGCGCGTATAGCAGCGTCAAAGTAGCATCTACTTTTTTTCTTAATTCTACTTTGAGCCTATCAGAGCCTATTTTAAGCCTATCAGAGCCTGCAATGCGCAGTCTGATGTAAGAATTGAACCCTACTTTAAAACTGTAGCAGGAAAAAAGAAAATTTCGGACGTACAGCAGCGTCAAAGTAGCATCTACTTTTTTCTTACTCCTACTTTGAGCCTATCAGAGCCTATTTTGAGCCTATCAGAGCCTGCAATGAGCAGTCTAATCTGAGAATTGAATTCTTTAAAACTTTAGCAGGAAAAAAGGAACTTTCGGACGTATAGCAGCGACAAAGTAGCATCTACTTTTTTTCTTACTCCTACTTTGAGCCTATCAGAGCTTATTTTGAGCCTATCAGAGCCTGCAATGCGCAGTCTGATCTGAGAATTGAATCCTACTTTAAAACTTTAGCGGGAAAAAAGAAAATTTCGGACGTATAGCAGCGTCAAAGTAGGATCTACTTTCTCTCTTACTCCTACATAAAAAAAGAAGAATTGAGGTTCAATGTAGACGCTAAATTTCGACTCGGGATGTTGTAATTATTATTATATTATATATGTTTTCAAATAAAAAATGTTGCGTCCTTTCTTACGTTAGATGATTAAGAGAGATTTCTCGTGTTGAAAACGTATGAAACTAACCTTTTAATTTGTCGTGAGCAAGGGCTCTCTGAAAATGTTCTTCCACTTCTGATGCCGCGTCGCCTCGGTAATGCGTGAATACAACACAGTTCGCGTTAACGTACTGCGCTCTGCTCTCGCCGTCATCGGAATCCTCGGTGGTGGTTCCAGCAGCCACGCCTGCTCACGTCAATGTGAAAACACAAGCGTTACACATAAATAGAAGTTCAATAAAAAGGACACGTTGATTTAGATTGGGACGGGATGATCGATCCCCTACCGTCTGTCGATCTGTCATCGTCCAGTGTTCGTGAAGGTTGCGAGCTGGTGGTGGCAAGGGGTGGTCGTGGTTGTGGGGTTGGCCTTGGGGACGCAGGACTAGGCGCGGATCCCACGGAACCCGCGCTGCTCGGCTGACCTTGAGGAACGCTTCCGCCAGCACCGCAGAGTTCAATACCGGCTGCTTCCAACGACCTTTGGTGAACATTTAACTGCAATAGAAAGCAAGCAACAAAATTATAACGACGGGAATACAGTAAAATTGATATTTTAACATATAAATAATTTTTTGCAAACAATTTGTTGTTTAATCGCTAACTGTGAGGAGGTTAACAATTCTTCGGTTAGCGCTCTTTAACAGCTAACTTATCACTTTTAATTTAAAACTATTATTAATTAACTTGTATAATTGGAAAAAAAGCACATCAGTGCGTATAATATGCATCGACGCTGTGTGTTCTATTCGCTCGAACGGTGATCCATATTTTTGTCGTACACGACTTCTCGTATCGTGTACTTGGTGTCTCGTGTAGAGATACGTCGTAGGATCTTGGTGCATTCGATTAAACCAAATTCTCGAGTGATAAATCAACGCGAATCAAGGAGACCAGTGTGGCCGACGATCGCATTACTCGCGTGGCGCAGTGATCGCGATGATAGGGCGACAAGAGAAATACGAGCGCGTAAATACCGGCGCGTTTTAACGGCGATAGCCGGGATTTTCCGCGTGACATCAAGGCCATGCGTTTTCTCGCGCTACAAAGGGAATGTCGACGACAGGAATAGCGATGGACGGCGACGACGACCCCATTGACTTCCTACATTGTCAACACACTTCGACAGAAGTGTCCATATAATCACCGATTCTTTTCCGATCGTAACATATCGCTTTTTGTGTGAAATAATGTGAATTGAAGCGAAACTTTATTTCATACAAATTCATATGTATGATGTCTCTATTGTCTAAAAGATTAATAGATATCTCATGTGTCGCACCACGCGCGATTTTTATGAATAAAGTTTCGCTTAATTAAGAAAGTATGTGTTTGATGTATTTCGCTTATATACATGTATATATATATATATCTATATCTATATCTATATATATATACACAGACAAAAAAGATTTGCTAGAATAGCAAGAAATTAGTTACTACATGGCCAGCAAAAAACCATTTGTTAAGTTTAGTAAAATTTTTGTTTTGCCAACAAAACATTTTGTTGATGAAACAAAAAATTTCGTAGGGTCAACCATTTTTTTTTGCTGACCATATAATAGCAAAACTTTTTTTTCCGTGTATATACGTAAAGATATATATTAAATATATATAAAAAATAACATAAAGTACAAATAATAAATTTAAATCTAAAATAGATTACAATTTTCATGTCACACATACACACATACATAATGTATCAGATAAAATTACTTCAAATTTATAATTGTTCATTGTAATACCCCTAAAATCGTCAGATTTAATTAGTTTCTCGATTCTGCGCTTATTAGAGCAAAATTGCGTATCGATGTCTAACAAATCACGGCGAATAGTATTTTTTTTTGTTTTTTTTTTCTGCTTTCCCAACGATGAGCCGAGTGTGTTTGGTTCGCTACCCCGCCTAACTAATTACGTGCATGCATCAACGATGCACGGAAATAAGCTGACGCTGATGTATGCGCCGCTTCGTCGGAAGGGTGTGCGGAAGGAGGCAATGAAGAAGAGAAAAAAAAAAGAAGGAATGACTACACCTCCGAGAGAGAGAAAGAGAGAGATGTTATCGTTATATACTCCAATAAACTCGGAGCCCGGCGTTTCATGATGCGGTAGTATATATGCACATCGCCATGATGTGAGCAAAGTGATGACGAGCGATGACCCGACGGAGTAGGCGTCGTCGACTGAAGGTATATATCCGTTGTCATCGTGCGGTCTTTGCAACTGCTGATTGGTAGACGGTTCGCGATGAAAGGCGGGAGAAGAGAGCTTTAAGCGCAGAGCTCACACCTACAAAATGTTGTCGGGGCAAATTAGCCCGTTCCGCGAAAGATTACGTCAGATATGCGCGCTATGTTGTACTTGTCGTAAAAATGATACAGAGCGAGAGTAATGGGTGTGTTATTTGATAAAAATGTGAATTTTTTTAATGGTAGCCGAATGGTAATCGCGCTACATTAATAACCGTGTTTAATAAACCCCTGACTATTAAAAGAAATTTGATCTTTCGACATGATGAAGCTCTCTGCCACATTTTTTTCTCTAGAGAAGTAAACTTACTTGAGCGAGAGACACAAATGCTGGATCGGCGGTGTAATAACTTAGCCATCACGATCGCCGGATTTATATTACTTTAAGTTAATTATTTTTTGTGATTTATTTCTCACAATTAAAAAATCTTAAAGAACAAACAAAGCGAAATAAAAAACAAATACGTATAAATTTCAAAAAACCGAATAAAAACAAAAATGATCGTTGTACATTTTGTAGAAAAATATATGTAAATATGCTTTTGTGGGAACTGTTTTGTTGTTGTTTTTTTTCTTTTTTTTTTTTTTTAATTTAAAACCTCCGTATCTCTCGATGGCCATCGATCGATTGAATTACGCCGCGTGAAATTCACCGTGCTCGCGAGAACGCGGGAGATTAAATCAAGGAGCCGCGGGTCTTCCATAGATTACCAGAGTAGAACATCCAACGCCGGTCGGCCGGACGACAATGTGGTAATTAATTGAAGCAAGATCGTCCCCGACAGTTTCTCTTCCTCTTTTGCTTTTTCTCCCCTTCGCTCCGCAACCAACGAGCAGCTCTAGTCAAGAGAGCTGCTCGCGGCCTTTCAAAGCATTCCAAAGCGCGAGTCTTCTACCCGTTCCTCTCTCTCTCTCTCTCTCCACCAGGCTCCGCTCGCTTCTTCTTCTTCTTGCCTTTTCTGCCCTCCTCCTTCTCCTCTTCCTCCTTCTCTTCCCTCCCCCGTACGTCGTTCTTCCCTGCGCCGGTGTCGAGTCATTTCACGAAAGGTCCCCGAGAAGAGGCCGCATCTTTATTTTTCTTTCTCTTTTGTCTTATAGATCTCCACCAGCGCCGTGGTGTGTCGTATATCGATTTTAGTTCTCACAAGTCGTAGCTTCTGATTCTCCGTCGATTCCCCGAGACTCTTTATGTTTTAATTTCGCTGAAATCGAGAGCTTTAAAGCGTAACGCGGCAGTCAGGTCTATGCCGCGTTTTTTTTTTTTTTTTCACGCATATATTTGCAAATTTTCAATTCCTTCAATTGTATTAACCCGAGTCGAAATTTAACGTCTACATTGAACCTCAATTTTTCTTTTTTTATGTAAGAGTAAGAGAGAAAGTAGATCCTATTTTGACGCTGCTGTACGTTCAAAATTTCCTTTCTTCCCGCTAAAGTTTTAAAGTAGGATTCAATTCTCAGATCAGACTGCGCATTGCAGGCTCTGATAGGCTCAAAATAGG